GCTCTCTAACCTCTCATTCGCACCTTTGGGAAGTATTACAGAGAGAATGGAACAATATCACTTCCGAATATTTAAAAAATCTCATCGCAAGATTACCAAAAATTTTTGCAGCAATTATTAAGAATAAAGGTGGTCAATGTCTTTAATTTTTTGTAATTTTATGCATTAATATGTAAACTTATAAATAAATTTGATAAACCTCATATTGTGTGTTATTTGTCTTATTTTAAGGAAAATGTAAAGAAATGCAGGGTGGGCAATCATTTATGGCCGGTATTGTATATATACATTTATCTTCTATAGATATATATATCAGAGACCTGCAGAGGTACCATTTGCACGGCCCGGCTTTAAATTTTTTAGGCCCGGCCCGGATATTTTTTTGAAAAAAAATTTAAGGCCCGGCTCGGAATTTTTAAAAATTATATTCGGCCTGGTATATACAAAAATTCACCTATGAGGTATTTTATCATATTTTTCAGCGAGTATTATCGCTTATTATTTAAAAAATACATGTAAAAAGCTAATATTTTGAGAATATTATATTGAATTTATAAAAATTATAAAACTGTTATTTTGAGCATATACTATATTTTATATTGCATTTAAAAAAAAATAAAACTAATATTTAATTTATAAAAATGGATAATATTTTGAGAATATAATATATTGTATTTAATTTATAAAATAAAAATATATCGCTATTTAAAAAAATGCATGTATAATAAATAGTATTTTGAAAATATAATCTAATTGCACAATATTAATATAATTTATTTTATAATATAAATTTTTAACAAAAGAAGATAATTGTATTATATAATATTGTAAAAAAAAATAATGAAAAATGTTGGATTAAAAACTTTCATGACTCAAGGTAAATATAATAAATGCAATAAATATTTGACAGTTTGCAAAGTAAAAAACCAGCATGATTGACGAAACCCTATACTCCAGAAAGATATTAAAAATTCACAAATTATCATGAAGAAAGAGAAGCATATCCACATTTTCAGGTTGAAGATTACTTCTTCTTTCTTCAAGAATTCTTCCAGTAGTGGAAAAATTCCGCTCACAGCTTGAACTTGAAGCAGGAATTGCCAATTTTGCTAAAATTGGAAATTCGCTTTGATGATCCGCCCACCACTCTAACAAATTATCCACCTTAAATGTTTCATCTATTTTTTTATTTATGTAATTATAATATTCATCATCGGGTATTGACATATTACCAGAATTACCATCGCCCCATTTGTCATAAAACGATTCAGTTTGTTTAACAACAGTCGTAATTTGACTGGTCGATGGTATTTCATTTACTTCCTGAGCCTCTTGTAATTTAATATAATCTTTTATATAGTTTTCCGTCATCTTGCGATCTGTCCCTGACTACATACGTAATTGCTTGAATTTGGGACAGAAAAAAAGAGAAATAAAATGATACTTGTGTAAAACAAATTTTTCAATTAAAAAATGCTTTATATTAAGTAAAATCAATTTTATTTCTCCTTTTTCGCTTTGAAAGGTATTACAAACTTCAAGAAGTGATATTACTTTATTTGATTGTTTTGGTAAAATATATTCTAAAAATTTAGATATGAATTATAAAAAAATATATTAATAATACTTGAATATTAGGGCTTATTTAAGATATTCCTATATTTGATTGTTTTGGTAAAATATGTTGTAAAAATTTATATGAATTATAAAAATATATATATTAATACTTTGAATAAATTTGCAGGAAATTAATAATTAGATCGATCTGTGGGTGTTAGGTAGTGTTAACCATCACCCAATATTATATTAATCATAACTATAATATAATATAATCTTATAACCATTAACTCATAATGTAAAAATTTTTATAAAAAATATTAAGGCCCGGGTTTAACAATCTTAGGCCCGGCCCGGATATATTTTAAAAAAAATTTCGGGTTCGGGCCAGCAAAACTTAACTTTCTTAAAAAAATTTCGCCAGGACGGGCTTGAAAAATTAGGCCCGATGCAGATCACTAACATATAGTAAATTATACATTAACTTTGTTAGTTTCATTTACTGTTAATTTTATTTATTCGTTCGTTGGTTTATTTTGTGAAAAAAGTTTAATCTCAAAGATATTATAAAAAGAAATAATGCAAAAATGTTTTAATATAATTATCTCCTTTTTGGGGATCACTAAAAAGTATAAATTTTAATTTAAACCTTTCCTCACTCCTAGAAAATTTCATATGCGATGCAAATTTGGGAAATCCCTCTATGTATCATTATTAGAACTTACATTTTCAAATTTATATAGGTTTCTTTGTTATCACAAAGAATAGAAATTGGAGAAGGAAAGCTTAGACCCATAAAAAACCTCTGATAATTGCTAAGATTCTAGCCAGATATGACATTAGATAAGAATAAAAGGATACATTTAGAATCCTGAAATGAAAGGTAGTAAAATTATGATAAAGAGCTGTTATCTTTCATCGCAGTACTCTAAGAAGGAATTTCCGAATCATTTCCCATTTTGTTATTAATTTAATTATAATTTCAAAGATTGTAAGATGCTTCTGTGGAAAATTTCTTCAAATTCCTAATCACTCTTTTTGTATTGATTGGTTTTGTGTTATATGTCGATTGCCGGGAAATAATATTATAGCGAATGCATTACCACAAATATAATATCGCGAATGCATTATAGAGGGCTTTAGATTTTTTTTATCAAAATATATAAAAAAGATTGTAAGCAATAAAATAGATTTCTCTAGGTTTAGGGTAAAGGAATTAAAATTTTATGTAAATTGATTATTTAAATATGCAATTAGTTATAATTTTCGATTAAATTTGGGAAAGGACAGGCTCAGGCCTATAATTTAAAATAATGGCTAGGCTAAAATAAATAAAGATTTTGGATGGAGCTTTGGCTGAAATAAACTAAATTTGCGAGGCGCTAAGAAAAATCTTATTTAAAATATTGAGCCAAACAAATAATTAGTCCTCGGAAATCATTTATATTATTATTTGACAAAATATGTTTTAATTAGTGATGGATTTGGTATTGACTTGATAAACATATTTTGATAATAAATTTGTATAAAGTTCTCTTATTGTTTAATCAAAAAGACAAGGCCAAAGCTAATCACAACAAGACATGAAACAATATTCAACATCATAGATAAATTGTCGAATTGAATGGCTACATATCTCAGAATTTAATTCATGTAATCTCTGGTGATGAAATTGCGACTATTGTGACTCAGGAGTTAAACAATAGAATAATGATTTCCATAATTGATTCTTGTTAAGTTCTTGCTTTCTGACGAGTCTTTTTTCTAGTTAATAATTAAAGACAATAAAATTATACCATGATAAGAAAAATGGGAATGAAGTTTAATTCCTGAATTCTTTAGGAAAAAAGTGGAATATTCGTCCAGTTAAACAAGCTTTAAAGAGACCTCAAAATACAGGTTCCATATACAGAAAAATTATCAAGTTAGGTTAAAACCTTTAATCTTACAAACTTGAAAGAAAATTTGGTAAAATATGGCCCTTAATTTGGCAAGAAATAATCAAATTGGCGTTTATTATTAGGTGTTATAAAAGAAAAAAGGACAGATTAATTATATTTATTATTTTAATAATTTTATGGATCTCAAAGTATACTTTGTGTTTTGCATTATAATTTATCATTACGAAAAATATTTTAAAAAATGGCGAGCATCCTGTAGATTATCATAATGGGAACACGTCTAGCTAAATAAATAAAATAAATGAGTAAGTTATTTTTTCTCAAATATTAGTATTTCAAATTTAAAAAAAAAGACTTATCTAATTATTAAAAAAAATTGAGAATACTAAATTCCATATATTTTTTAATAAAATACGAAATTTCATAAATAGGTAGTGATATTTTTTAGAGTTATAAAATTTTTAAAAAGCTACGTTAAATAAATATAGAAATGTCAATTAGGCTGGTTCTCTGGTTTTTTGAAAAAGGTCTGAACTTGAAAAATGAGTTACAATATAATTAGAGTCTAAAAAATTTCCTTAATCCAGTGGAAAAATATTATCAGCCAGGAATTTCCAATAGATAACAAATATATGGTTTGATATATTAAAAAAATATGATGACCATAAGTAGCAAAGAATTTTAATACTTCTATTAATTATATCAACCATTTATTATATAAATCACTATTGCATAAGTGATAATGCATTTCTGTAATGCGTTGGCGATAATACATTGCTGTAATGCATTAGAGAAAATAATTCTGCGGTAATGCATTCGCTCTTATGCATTAGCGGTAATGTCTTCGCTATGATGCATTCATGGTAATACATTTGCTGTAATGTTCGCGATACTGTTTACGCTATGATGCATTTCGCGGAAAAGGTTTCGAGATATTGACGTGATACGTAATGAATGACTTATATTTTTTTATATCCTGACCAGCATAAGTAGATTTTATTGATTATCATCAAACACATGTTTTTCATTTGTTTGATTTTTGTGTTGTAAAAATAAATATTTGTGATAATGTATTTGTTAAAATTATAATTGATATTTTAATTTTTATTTTTCAAGAAATATTTTAAAATTAAATTGATGTAAATATTTTATGTTAGAAATATAATATTTAATAACAATTTATAAATATGTGGACTAAAAAACATTTTGACAGATTGTGTGTAATTTAAATGTTTTAAAACTAAAATTTGTATAAATTAAATCTACAAAAAAAATTCCACAAAGAAAATGGGTAGAGAGAATCTTAGTAACAAGAAAAGACCTAAATCTATTGTGAAAAATTAATGCTGAGATGTCATAAAAGCTAATCTACATTGTACAATCCGGTATTTACAGGACTGACTTGGAAGAGATCTACGATCCTCTTGTTTGTCTATATAAGTAAGAGTTAATTCCTTAAAGTAGGGCATTAAATAAGATGATCCACTAATAAATTTATCAAGCCTATTTAATAATTAAGCATTTTATTTTGCAATTGTAAACATGAAATAATAACTTTATTAAAAGAAATTTAGTAATAATTATAGTTATAGGATAGAAAGTGAAGAATTTTTTTAAAACTTTTGTAAAAAATTATAAGAATGAAATATATAATTAAAAAAAACAGTTTATATAAAAGTAATATATGTATATATTCAATATAAAAAAAATTTCTTTTAATTCTTTCAACATGTTCAATTATTATAACCGGGTCCACCTTTATCAGGCAATAAAGTGCTAGGAGACGCGGTTTTGGGATCTTTGGATGTTGATGCCTCTTTATCCTGTTTCTTCTTTTCGCTATCCGCCGCCGCTTTAGAAGCTGTGGCGGCAAGGTTGACCGATTTTTCGTATTTTTCTATGGCACCTCCAATTTCCTTTTTAGTCAGAACTTTTATGATCGATTTTTGAAGTTGAGAGTCACGGGTTAGCGTGGCTATTTCAACTTTTTTTTAAATTAAAAAACAGAGAAGTATATTAATTTAAATAAAAAAGTATTATAAACTGGGTCAAAAAAAGAGGAATCAAATAAAACTAAAAGGGAAACGAAAATAAAATAATGCAATTGAAAATAATTCAGTAATTATTCATTGTAATACATACTCTTATCTGGGGTTATTTTGTTGGCATCAAATGTTTTGTGAAGAACTTTCATAGTTAGTTCCATAGCTTTGTCGAGGGTCATTTCCCCCTCAGTATAGTCCTGTTTGAGGATGGACATCGCTGCCTTTATATTATTATGTAACAAAATTATTTCATATCAGAAACCTGCAGGCCTGTCAGAAGCCAACCAGTAAAATAGTAAAAATCAGGGCTAGTAAGGAATTAAAAAAATACAAAATGAGATAGGTCAAATATATTTTTTTATAAAATCCAAGATAGACTAGCCTTGCCTTGTGAACAGATTTTTTTAAATCCGAAGGGCTTATTATTTTGACCTGAAACTTGCAAATGTCACAATTTTAAGACTGGCCTAACTTTGAAAAAATATCATTTTCAAGCTTGATCCGTTTTTTTTAAACTAAATTTTTGGCCTGACCTGAATTTATATTTTTGGTGAGGCCCGGATGTTTAGAATATCGTCATTTTTAATAATTTGGGATGTGTTAAACAAATATTTATATGGGAAAATGAAAAATATGAGCAGTAAATGAATATAATATGCTTCATTATATATTTTCCAATTGATTAATTGATATAATTCAAATTTATTTCTAGCCCAAATTTTTTAAGCTCGGACCAACCCAGATTTTTGAAACCACACCCTTCTTTTACCTGTTCCAAGCCTGCAGATTCCTAATTTATAAGGATTTAACTACTCATACTAGATAGATAATCTAAATACATGATGTCCCTTTTTAATGAGCTCATGATATAGCAAAAGTAGACTGTATTTGGGTATATTTTATTTTATAATTAATATATTAATTCATCACAGAAGAATGTTATTTCATTCCAGCAATTCGAAAAAATTTATATTATAGAGGTTGCGCTAGTTCAGTGAACCCATTTTGATGCAGGCGACTTCATATTGGTTGAGCCACCAATCCTCAATAGAATTTTTTTTAAATATGCTGCTGGCTGTTGATAGCCATACAGGTCCACTGATACAAACAAAAAAATTATGCGTAGTGTTTATTGAACAAGAAAAGATTTATAATTCATTCATATTATCACTTTTTATTTTTATTTAAAATTTATGAGTAAAATAAGTCAAAAGTAAATTAAAATCTTGCCCTTTTAAGTCTAAATTTGCATATCAGTTTTTTAAAAATCAAAATATGCCATTAATAGCTATAAAAAATCTGAGAGCTAAATATGGATGTCAATGCTTGAACGCCATAAAGTAAGGTATATAATTTTACTAATGTTATAATGATTCAAAAAGTTTAAATTAATATTTTTGAAGGCAAAATGCGATCATAATAAATTTTAAAATTAGATTAATTCCATAAGAAAAACTTAAAATACTAGAATGGAATATTAAATATTCTTTAAATAATAAAAGTTAATAACTATTTATTTAGAAAACTAAAAAAATAGATTTAACCAGTTTTAGGGCATATCTAAACACACAAGAGATAAATAAAAGTTTACTAATTTTAATAATATCTGCTTACTGTATGAATTTAGATATACTCCCAGACTATTATCAATAAAGATCAACAATAAATATTTTTAAAAAGGTTTCCTGGCTCAACCTGTAATTTTTTATCAGCCTAACTTGTAGCCTAGTAGATTTCTGGTGTTCAATCAACCAAAGAAATATTATTATGAATAAAAAGAAAATTCAAATAAATGAGAAATAAATATTATGTTTTTTAAATAGGAATAGTTTACAGCGCTATTGTTTCCAGTGCAGGTTGCTTTCCAACCACTGTAATTTCCAGAGGGGTCACTCTGATATAATTGATAACCATAGTGCTTGTCCCAGCCCATGTAAAGTATGGAAATGCCAAACGGTCTTTTACCTTATAAAAAAATATTTTTTTACAATCAAATTCAGAGCTATCTTTTCTTTTATGGCATTATGTCAAACAGAAGTAACAATGACAGAGATATCATTTTGTAACGAATAAAATATCTCTATTAAGAAAATTTAATCTTATATTTTAAAAAATCCTAATATATAGTCAGAAATTATTTAAATTTTTTCCCCATTATATATTCAATTTTACATTTGTAAATTGTGACTAAATTTAAAATATTGAACTTTCTAATCCTAATTCTAAATCTCATATTTCAATTTAAAATACCTCCATATTGTGTATAAGCTTGTTTAATATCACAAAGCCATCTGACAAGCTGTTCACATGGTATAGGCCCATCCCATTGTAAACGATATCTAAAAAGATATATAATTATAATTCAAAAGAATAATATTTAATGTAAAGAATATGGAAAATATTGACTAATTTGTTTAAAAAAATTTCTCTGAAACTAAATCAAAAATAATTATTTAAGGATTTAATAAATATAACCTCGATTAAATAAAAATAAATATTTGTTAAATCATATAATAAAATAGTTCCACAAACCTTTGTGCAATAAGTCTTAATTCATCAATTAGAACATTGGCATCTGAAGTAATTCCAGCTACTGCACAAGCAATATCTCTATATATTATGAAATTATAAAATTAGTTTGAATTTAAAATTTGAATATAACATAGATATCAAAGTGTTTGAATGTTAATGGTGTTAAAAATTTTACTCATCAATCTTAAATATTTTTTCTGAAAAATGCATTTCATCCAAGAGCTTGTTAATATTTCTTTGTTCAGCAGCTAATAATATGCCTTCATTCGTTAGAATTCCTAGACATATACCCGCTTGTGTTATGGCTTCCATTGCATATTCGACTTGATAGAGACGACCTTTTAATTCATATAAAATATTGTATAATAGTTGCCTATATTCTTGAAAACAGGTAGCATTGTACATATTTTTATAGTTTTAGACCTTCAGGTGAGAAGATAGTAGTTCTTGTATCATACCTGCGAGACTATAATATTTTAAAATTTGATGATTATTTATAATAAGTCAAAAATACCATGGGGAAAATATTTTGAATGTATGATCAAATAAAATAAATAAAATATTTATAAGACTGTCTAAATGACGACCTTAATTATATCATCAATCAGAAACATGCAGAGTTATAACTTGCACTTTCGGCCAAAATTTTTTTTAGAAAGATTTTCGGCCCGAAATGGCTTTATTATATACGGCCCGGCTAAGGTATTTTAAATGTTTAATTAAAATACGGCCCAACGCGTCTGGGCCTGAGCTTATTGTCGGTCTGCAGGTCTCTGGATTCAATTTAGTAGAATTTCTATAATGGATATCTCCCTGACTAATTGTGACCATCTGATATTTATTTAATTATATTAATATTATATTATTATTTTGCTATAGAAATCATTCAACTTCGCTATAAAAATATTTTCTTTTAACTTTCACTTATTTGTTTGATAAAATAAAAACAGGCTTTAGTTTATCCCAAATTTTTTATAGACAATCGGACCTGAACCTAACCATCCGGTATTTTTTATCGAACCTAAACCACTAAAATTTCTAGCCGAACCTGAACCGAACCGCTAAAATGCCTCTGAACCGGTTCGAGTCTCATAATTTTATGCTTATAAAATAATGTGTAAGTTATTGTAGTATATTGCAAGAATTTAAATTATATTCAAATTGTTTTAAAAATTATTATCAATCACATTTTTATTGATAAGTATCAGACATAATTTTTAAAACTTTAGTATATTGGCATTTTACAACATTAATATTTTAAGCTCATAAATTTTAATGTCTAGAAAAAATTAAATCCAATATATAAATTATTTACATATAGTATTATAAATGATACATCAAATCTGATATCATACTGGGTGCCGGCTACCATAGTTAGTGTGGAAAGATGTTTTTCAACAATTAAATTTATATTATCTCCTTATAGATGTAATTTGAGTGAGAAGAATTTTTAAAATATATTAATTGTGCGGCTTAATAAAAAATTTTAAGTAATTATTTATATTAAAATTAATTATTGATATTTATTCGTTATATTTAGAAATTAAATATTATTTTATAATGTACAATTGTTAAAAATGAAGGTTATATGTATATGTTTTTATTTTAATTATGAAATAAAAAAAATTCTTCCTCATACATAATTTGAATGTAAGTTTGAATACAAAAGTGTTCAAACCGGTTTTTAGAGGTACAAATCGAACCGATATTTTTATTTTTTGCAAACCGAACCTGAACCTTGAACCGTTATTTTTATCCGAACCTGAACCGATATTCGTTTCGGTATGGATCCCTGTGCACAACTTCTATATTTTTTAGCTAGGTCTTAATGGAACCCAAAATTGCAAATAATTAATAATATATTTTGCTAAAATTAAAAAAAAAAGGCTAGAGGGTAATTTTTACAATTTATGCATAAAAACGGTGTTTGGGCGTAAAAAATGAAAATGGGTAAGAAATTTTTATTGTTGTTAAAAGTTACTTTGAAATATTACTAGTTATAGTTACTAGTTACATTGGTAAAAATATAACTAGTTACATTTGGAATGCAACTAGTTATTAGTTACAGTTATATTTCAAAAGTAACTAGTTACATAATAAGCTACTTTATACATCATTTATAAACGCATTATTTATTTACTCAACGCATTTATTTAATATAAAAAATTAGGATATAATAATTATAATCAATTATTTGAAAAAATATACAATTTATTTATATAAAAAAATAACTAAATCGAAAAGAAATATCGGATAATAGAATATATTTATTAGAGACCTGCAGGCCCGGCCCTAAGCCCGGTTCGGGTACACAGGCTGGGACGTATTTTAATTTTTTTTGAAAAAAATTCTAGGCCAGGCCGTATATTTTAAAACCAAATATTTGAAATCATTATTATTAGCTATAAGAATCAAAAATAAATATAATATATTTATAAAAAATCCCAGCAAGGTCTGAAAATTTTTCTTTGGTAAGTAATGTTTACTAATTTAGTAGTTTATTCAAAAAATATTTAATTTTTAAAATCTATGTCTTTGTCGTTCCTTATACTAAGTTCTATGATCTAATTTAGCAAAATTTAAAAAAAATAATTTTATATGGAATTCCATAAATATTACCATCAACTTGAGGGCAAAAAATATGGAATATATTGTGATAAATAGGTAAAGAAATAGGTTTATTAAAGCAATGTAACAATTTTAAAAAAAAAATCTATTTGAACGGGAAATTATATTATTGTTGCATATCCTTTGTCAACACAATCAGATATTTAAACAAAATTTTAAATAAATTTAAAAAATATTTATTTTCCTTGAATCGGACTGCCCACCTGGAAATTTTATTGTAGTGGACAAAACTAGTTTTACCCACCTAGGTCCATCCACTGGAGGTGAAAGTGCTATATTTCATTTCAGAGATAAATTTTTTGTCAAATTCAATAGAATGAAAAATATTTTAAAACATTTACCTGCTAATCAGGCTCTTTATTTATTCAAATATATTTTATTCATTCTTAAAATTTTACATGCCTTCCGTTCATCAAAAATTTTCATGTCCCTTGAAATATTATTTTGAGGTTCATTATAAAAAATACTTTCGAATCTATTTTAAATATCTTCACTTTTCAGTATGCAAGCTGCCCTTCCACCAAAGCTAGGTGGTATAGGTATCCATTCCCCCACATTTAAGCATTTCAGAATTTTTATCCTCAGTTGCTAAGTTTCCATACACACTTGGAGACTTGGATATTATCGAATCCACATCATATGGTAGTATTAAACTTCTGGAGCAAAGATTCTCCAAGTCGCTCATATCCAAATTTAAGACAAAGATACTGGAATTAACCATTAATACAGCATTGCGTTGAATAATTACACCTCAAAGCTGTTCAAAGAAAATCTCCATCGCTCTTTCTCCCCTTAAACGCAACCTTGAGTATACGGAATGACAACAATACGACTCTTTTGCTAGATCAAATAATTCCAGGCTCAGTCATATGCCACCCTGGCTATGAATGGTTAGAAACTATACCTAATTCGAAGAACTTAGAATAGCTATAGGTCTTCGTTTTGTGAATCGTAACGCCGATATCATGTGTCCCTTGTGAAACTCATATCGATAACCTTAGACACCCCCCCCCCCCATACTGTCGTTTTTCAAAAGGCAAATTATATCCAGGCACTATACCATCAATTCGATATTAATAGAATCTTGAAATCCGCAAATATTCTTTCTACACTGGAACCCTCTGGCTTCAGCCCTGATGGAATGATGCTAGTTTCTTGGAACCAATGTATACCCATCGCTTGGGATTATACATGTGTAGATCGTTTTGCCAGATCTTTTTATTTCAACTCTATCACAAAACTGATAATACAAAAACAAATAAATAACCACCTTAATAATCTTTTGTTTGTTCAGGTAGTCTCAGAAACCTAGGGATCATTTGGACCCCAAGCCCTAAAATTATTCAAAACAATAGGGCAAAGGTTACGTTTAATCACAGTGATCCAAAAAAAGCTTCTATCTACGACAAAGAGTATCAATCAAAATTTGTCGATCTAAATGTATCTATACATGGGTCATTAAGCCCCTCCGACCAAACCAAATACATTATTTTATTTCTCTTCTAATTATATATTTACATGAATAAAGATATAGTATTATAATTTTAATAAATAGTTATATTATTTTTTTAAAAAAAATATTAAAAATAAAATTAATTACTGGAATATATTATTTAGATTTATACATATATGTATATTTTTTTAAAGTAACTAGTTGCTTTTGACAGTTATATTTCAAAAAATATAACTCGTTACAGTTACTAGTTACAAATTTTAAAATATAACTAGTTACAGTTACTAGTTACAATTTTTAAAATATAACTAGTTACAGTTATTTTTTAACAAAAATGTAACTAGTTACTTTAACAACACTAGAAATTTTATATAAAAATAAATCTCATATACTTCTAGGCTCAAGGGCGAAAAAGTAATTTGCGACAACTTTCTTACGTTAATCGTTTTACCTGGTATTCCCTTGTCGTTATTTAAAAAAATTATTAACTTTTACTTATTTTTCTTAATTTTTGTTTATATTTATGGATTGTATAAATTTTTGAGGAAGATGGAGATGAAGTTATTTGCAAGAAAAATTAATGCAAAAAGAGAATATATTATTATCGTAGATAGTTTTTTAAATAGTGTTATGTTTTCCTTTACAAAAATTAAAATATAAAATCTTTTTTAGCTAATCATGTATTATGTAATTATCCATATTAGGCCTAAATTTCCAATCTTGGAAATGAATAGGTTAAATAATAATTGGAGTGGGCTAACATTTAAATATGTGTTGATGATGGTGTGGTCATCCAAAAAAATATTAAAAAATATAAAACATCTCTTGTTTCTTTATTTCTTATATGCTATATATATTTTTTTTATGTATATAAATTAGAATATAAATAATCAAAACGAAAAACAAAAGTAATAAAAGGTTAGGTTACAAAAAGTTAATTTACAAAAGATTGAATTGTAAAAAGTTGAATTGTACAAGGTTAAATTGTAAAAGGTTTAATCGTAAAAGGTTAAATTATAAAAGGTTGAATTGTGAGTCGAAAGGCAAAAATAAGATAAATATATCAAAGTATAAAAATGAAAATCATTTATCGAACGCGCGATAAAAGGATTCAAATTTATAATATAACAATATGCTATAAATTTTAGCTCTACTTAATTCAGTCTCTCTAATAGCCATGAATTAATCAACATCATGTCCAATATATGAAAGATTATCAATTTGGGTGATCTATTGTGTATAAGGAACCAATGAGTCCATTAAATCGGCACCCATTATATTTTTATTAGTAACTCTAACTTCTCCTGGACATGAATTTTCCTGTCATTCCTTCTATCAAACCGTTCATAATCTTCAGGAAATTTTCGAAAACCATGTTTTAATAAACTTATGGAAGCAATATCTATTAGTCATGAAGCAAATTCTTTCTCATCTGATGAGCCACTAAGAATAGAATCCTAATCAACCTTAAAAATATATTTACATTTTGACTATAT